TTGCAGTGAGTGGAGGTTGCACTGAGCTGAGATCGTGCCACTGCTCTCCAGCCTGGGCAACAGAGCGAGACTGTCTCAACAACAACAACAACAACAAAAATTGATGTCGCTCGTGCCTGTAGTTCAAACTACTCAGGAGGCTGAGGCAGGAGAATTAGTTGAGCTCAGGAGTTTGAGACCAGCCTGGGCAACATGGTGACACCCTGTCTCTCCAAAAAAATGTGTAAAAATTTAGCTGGTCGGCCTGGCATGTTGGCTCACACCTGTAATCCCAGCACTTTGGGAGGCTGAGGTGGGCGGATCACGAGGTCAGGAGTTCGAGACCAGCCTGACCAATATGGTGAAACCCCATCTCTACTAAAAATACAAATATTAGCCGGGCGTAGTGGCAGTGCCTGTAATCCCAGCTACTCAGGAGTCTGAATCAGGAGGATTACTTGAGCCTTAGGAGGTCAAAGCTGCAGTGAGCCATGATTGTGCCACTATACTCCAGCCTGGGTGACAGAGTGAGACCCTGTCTCAAAAAAAAAAGAGCTGGGCATGGTGGCTTATGCCTGTAATCCCAGCACTGGGAGGCTGAGGCAGGTGGATCACCTGAGGTCCGGAGTTTGAGACCAACCTGGCCAATGTGGTGAAACCTTGTCTCTACTAAAAATAGAAAAATTAGCAGGGTGTGGTGGCAGGAGCCTGTAATCCCAGCTACTCGGGAGGCTGAGGCAGGAGAATTGCTTAAACCAGGAGGCAGAGGTTGCAGTGAGCTGAGATTACGTCACTGTACTCCCAGCCTGGGCGACAGAGAGAGACTTCTTCTCCAAAAGAAAGAATTCGTCTCCAAAAGAAAGAAAAAAAGAGAGAGAAAGAGAGAGAAAGAAAGAAAGAAATTAGCACTCATTCCTTAACATCATCTAATATCCAGTCAATGTGCATATTTCCTTGGTTGTTTCATTAATAACCTTTTACAGTTGGTTCCTTTGAACCAGGATCCAAACAAGATATGCCCGTTGTGTTTGATAGGTCTCTTAAGTCTCTTTGAACTGTAACAGTTTCTACTCCCTCATTGTCCTTTGCCATTTATTTGTTGAAAAACCTGGTGGATTTGTCCTTTAGAATTTCCTATGTTCTACAGGGATTGAGCTGGGAGGAAGAATAAAAGAATTTCTCATGTTCTGGCTGTGGCCGAATGTATACATTTAGTAGTATTCTGTTTATCTCTTGGTTCCTTTCTTCCCTGTATTTCCCATAAGCTTATGGTTGGATTTGAAGGCTTGATCAGACTTGGGTTCAATGTTTTTTTGCTGAGAATGCCATAGACAGCACTATGTTTAGCTATGTTGAATGAATGAATGAACTTGTTTTATGTAATATATTGTGTAAATATTTCCTGTTGGTACTTAATAGATCTACCTATTCCTTCTCTAGTTGCTTAATGATTTCCTAGTATAGACTACCATCCTTATCAACATAGATTGTTTCCAGATTTTAGTTTTTAACAATGCAGTAAATCTATCAAATTCCTAGGGAAGACAAAAACAGAATAATAAACTGAGATAGGAAAAATGAGCTAGTAGTTTACATGTTTAAGAATATTTGGGCTGGGCGCCGTGGCTCACACCTGTAATCCCAGCACTTTGGAAGGCCGAGGTGGGTGGATCACGAGGTCAGGAGATTGAGACCATCCTGTCCAACATAGTGAAACCCTATCTCTACTAAAATACAAAAAATTTGCCGGGTGTAGTAGCACACGCCTGCAGTCCCAGCCACTTGGGAGGCTGAGGCAGGCGAATCGCTTGAACCCGAGAGGTGGATGTTGCAATGATCCGAGATCGTACCACCACACTCCAGCCTGGTTACAGAGAAAGACTCCGTTGCAAAAAAAAAAAAAAAAGCAATTTTTGGTTGTATATTAAAAGATCAAGTGAGTAGTCACTGGCCTCTAAGATATTTAGAAATCTCTTAATTGCTAAGTACATTAATTACAAATTATGAAAAAAAAAACATGTGCAGTGGGTCATGCCTGTAATCCCACCACTTTGGGAGGCTGAGGTGGGTGGATCACTTGAGGTCAGGAGTTCAAGACCAGCCTGGCCAACAGGGTGAAATGCTATTTGTATCAAAAACATAAAAAATTAGCCGGGTGTGGTGGCGCGTGCCTATGTTCCCAGCTACTCAGGAGGCTGCGGCAGGATAATTGCTTGAACCCGGAGGTGGAGGTTGCATTGAGCTGAGATCACGCCACTGCATTCCAGCCTGGGCAACAGAATGAGACTCCGTCTCAAAA